CTAAAATGGGATGGGGGTTGTTCTCTATTTATGTGCTGCACATAAATAGAGAACAAACCCCATCCCATTTTAGCACTGAAGATATTACCTAGCCGGGTAATGAAACGTTTGCAAGAAAAGAACCAAGCTCAGAGAACCCCAAGGACTCCACTCTTGTATTCTGTATAACTTAGCAACTCTTTCTTCTGCCCAGCTAGAGCAGGGATTGTTCTGTGAGCCACCCAAGAAGCAAATTGGACGAAATGACGCATTGCAATGTGAACCAGTTAAACTGATTAAAAATGTTTTACTCAGTGGAAAAAGGAGTTCCCGTTTAACTTCTTTTATAGGTTCAAACAGTGGCCCAGCAAGTGGCAGAGGACAAGTTTGTGTTTGACTTGCCCGACTACGAGAGCGTCAATCATGTGGTGGTCTTCATGCTGGGGACCGTGCCCTTCCCGGAGGGTATGGGCGGATCTGTCTACTTCTGCTATCCTGACGAGAATGGTGTGGCCGTGTGGCAGCTCCTTGGATTTGTCACAAATGAAAAACCAAGTGCCATCTTTAAAATTTCTGGTCTAAAATCTGGTAAGAGGGGAATACAAGGATTGGATCCTGTATATAAGTGTGTGTTATTAGGGAGCGCAGGTAGGCCATCTCTGCATTTTTGCAGCTTCCTGAAGTACCCCCCATGACTGGGCCTGCCACCAAACACATCTGTTTGACTAGGAAACATCCCAACCTCCTCAAAAGGACAGTAAATTCCACTTCTGCTCTGTGCAATTGGTGTCCCGAGATCATCACACTATCCATCCCTGCCATTCTTGGAGACTGAAAAAAAAGGTTGGAAAAGAAAAAAAGCTCCACCTGCAAGCACAAAACAGTTGTTTGCCCCTGCTATACATGTTGTGGCTCTCCAAATATTTTTAGACTGCAACTCAGCAGCAGCTGTCACCGGTAAGTAGGCAAGGACTAGAGAGCCTACTTATTAGTCAGGGATGATGTGAGCTGTATTTCAACATCTGGTGATGGATTCCTCATTCTTGCTATAAAGATTTACCATTGCTGACCGTGAGGGCAGTTCAGTCCTGCCAATTCTTCCCATGTTACTTACAACATTGCTTGTGAGCAGAAAAACATAACACAAGCAGCAGCGGCTGTTTCTGCTGTCCTTGTGTTCTGCTCTTAATCTTGTGACATAAACAATGGGATCTTCAGCCTTGTGTTTTCTTTGCTGCTGTTTATCTATTTAGCAAAGCAGTTTTTGGTCCCCTTTGCATGTTATGGAATTCAAGCACTCTGGACAAGCCCCATCCCCGCTGACATCAATCTCCTACAGTCACACATTATACATGTACAGATACGTATATGTTGGTGTACATTCAACAGATCGTAGCTCACATGGAATGCGCCACGTGCGCAGAGGCTAATCTCAAGCAATGTCAGCGAAGGGTGCAGGTTATCCAAATGTTCACGTGATGGGTGTTCTGGATTGAAGCATATCAGCATAGGGCTCAAATATTCTCTGCATTCTTGCTCTATTTTCTGCAGAATGCAAAATAGAAAACAAAATACCCCCCCCCCCCCCGCAAACCCTGCCTATCTCAACCAAAAAGCAGGCTTTGATCAGATGCATGCTTGCAAACACTTTAAATCCTAATGCTGAAATAATTAAAAGCCAGTATTAACCACCCAGTACTATAATAGGAAAAAAAGTTGCAAAGAAATATATTTCCCAAAACATAAATTATACTAAGCAGCGTTTTTAACAGGAGATAGCCACACTAAGGATGCAAACACAATATAGTGCAATTTCTCATGTTAGAAAAATAGTTAAATATATTTCCAACACGAAATGTGCGTGTTGTTATTTAATTAGAACTCACATATTTTAGTCAAATAATGAAACCTGATGGGAATCTATTACCACTTTATCCTAATAAAGATCTTTCTGGGCTACGATATGTTGGATTTGTTTCTTTTAAATATATTCAACAAGTGTATTTTAGTACCTGGTTTGCACTTGGAAATTTTTTTGTTTCTCCTTATTCACTCAAATATAGAAGCCAACAGCTGAGCCCTCAAAGAGGGTAGGACCTAGCCAGTGCTGTTGTCCTTTCAGCTCTTGTTCTAGGACAATTTTTTAGAAATTGCTGGCTGGATAGTTTATTTCTGTTTGGGAATTTGGAACATGGCCAACCTTACAGCCTTTGCATAACTGGGAAGGTTTAATTATAGGCCACTCAGGTTTTCTTATCAGTAATCCCCTGAAGTTTTACCAGAAGAAATATTAGCATACTTATAGTTAAAGATCTGAGAGGCCTTGGAAGAGAGAATCTGAAACTCATTTGTACCTATTACTCCCTGTAGTTTTCTTTGGAGGAGTTTATGCACATTTTAAACTAGTCTTTACTTTCAGAGAGGAATATTTTTCTTTTTAAAACAATCTTTTCATCTTCAGAAC